CATGGGAAGTCAAGCTGCATGTCATGGGGAATCCTTTGTGACCCCCTCTTGTTTCCCAGACCAAGGTATGGTGCATTGCTGAATATTACTGACCAACTAGTAGATGTAAAAGCTGCATTTAAATTCTGAATACAAGGCATGTTAAACTCAATATTTAAAAAGGAAGAAGAGGGCTGGGGATTTAGCTCAATGGTTTCGCCACCTGCTGCGCAAGCACAAGGACCCAAGTTCGATCCCCAGTACCAAAAAAAAAATAAAAAGGAAGAAGAAAAGAGAGTCACTTGTGCTGAAGGATTCCACAGGCATGAAACAGGTCATCACCACTTGGGTCATTCTGTTCCCTGCACGGGGAGATTGATTTGCTCAAGACGTACAGCTGGTAAATGCCAGGGCCAGGATGTCGACCCAACCGACTCCACTTCACCTGCCAACACCACACTGCTGCCTTTCATAGGTTTTTAAAGGTTTGGTTCTTATTCAGAGATATAAACAATTTCACTTTTAGGTCTGAAGACCCAGTTATTTGTTATAAACCTCGGTGAGTGGTTGTTTTATACTATTTCATAGCAGAGCTTTGGGGGTCAGTTCTGGGTTCTAGTCGTAGCTTCCCACTTAGGAACTTTCCAAAAGTAAAAGTAAAGTTAATTTCCTCCTCCAAGTCTCCATTTCCTCTTTATGAAACAAGGCCAACTCTGTGGGGACTAAATGAGATCATCACTACAAAGCTTACAATCCAGGGCAAGCCACATAGCAATTGGTTACTAAATGGTGACCTTTCTAAAGATAAAATTCTGAAATAGCTTTCTATGTAATTCTGAATAAAGCCACTAATGATGCTTATATAGTTTCTTGGAGGACAAATAAAGAAAATATATGTATACTACTTGTCTTAGTTACTTTTCTGTTGCTGAGACAAAATACTCAACACCCAAAGTTAAAGGAGGGAAGGTGTTTGGCTCACAGTTTGTAGAGGTTCAGTCCATAATTGGGTGGCTCCAAGGCAGGGTGTAATGGCAGAGGGATGTCAGAGGAGAAACAGTTGATGGCAGGTAGAAGGCAGCAAGCAACAAGTGACAAGTGATAGATTCTTTTTGTCCCGTTATATTCTATTCAGAATACCTTGGGGCAGGTAGCACCCTTAATTGAACCCAGACCGATGCCAGACCAATCAGTGGACTAATTTAGTAATCACACACCCTTAATCCCAGCATCACACACTCTAGATCCAGCCACCCGTGAAAAGCCCCACCTGTGACCACATGAGGCTTTGAGGGACAATCTAGACACAAGCCAGAACACTACTAATATATTCTAAAGAGGAGAAAAAAAGCAGGAAAGGGGGATATAATATCAGGGAGAAGTTGAAACTGAGTAGGGTGAATGGGTTCTTCCTTGTTCACTTCCTGATTAAAGGGACCATGGAGAAAATTTTTGAGTTAAAGAGGATGCTGCCTGGGCAGTTGTCTAAAGTTGTGGGGGACAGCAAGCACAATGGCAGAAGTATACATAGACTGTATGAGGAACCGCCTGGAGGGTGGTGTGGTTGGAGAGAGAACACTAGGCCAGTCTGTGGATCAGAGTAAGGACTTGGGAGGGGCCAGTGAGCAGAGGATCAACACAATCTGACTAACGTTGTAAAAGATTTCTTTGTGCTGTGTTGAGAATAGACCACTGGAAGGGGAAGGAGTAGGGGATGGTAGCCAGCCGTGGCAGAAGCATACAGACCAGTGAAGAAGCTAGTGAAAGAATCCAGAGTATGCTCATATTGTATTAGTCAGCTTTCTGATGCTATAACAAATATCAGAAATAGTCAATATATAAAGAGAAAAGGTTTATTTTGGATCACATTTGTGGAGTTTTGGTCCATGGTCTTTTGAGCCCCATGGCTTTTGGCCTGTGGTGGAGCAGCACGTCATGGTGGGAGATAGTGGCATTGCAAAACAACCCACCTCATGGCCAGGGCATAACACAGAGGCAGAAGGGGACGGGATCCCCTTCTCGTGGTTTTTTTGGGGTTTTTTTGTTTTTGTTTTTTTTGGTACCGGGGATTGAACTCGGGTCCTTGCGCTTGCACAGCAGGCCCCTTCTCCTGTTTGAGGGCAGCTCCCCATCTCTGTGACCTAAAAAAACCTCCTACCAGGCCCTTACCCCTAACAGTTCCACCAAGTAGGGGAGCAAGCCTCCAACACACACCCCATTGGGGGTCACTGGAGATGCAAACCTTCAGGAGTCAGGATTGACATGTGGCAGGTTCTTCCTGTGGCTATGTTGTGTTTATAAACAGCGGGAGGCATGGGAGTTGTGTCATTCTGAGTGTCCTCCATGCTGGCTTTTGCTGTAGTAGATTGTGGTACTAACAGTCATATTTGCATATAACTCTTCCTGAGCCCTGCTTGGCTGTGAAATTTTCCTGCAAGAGAAGTAAGCACTTTATAAATGGATTTTCTTTGTTGTCATACCGTAGCAGTCCCAAATGTCATCCCATGGCAATCAGGACTACAAGGAAGTGCTATTAATGAAAGTTATCGATTCTGACATTATCAGCCAACTAAAAGAAAAGTAGGTCAGTGGGGCTGGTGAGCATGGCCCAGAAGCTTTTAAAACATAGAGCAGGGCTTCCCACAGCGCCCCTGGCGATGACGGCATCACCAGGAAAAGGGGCCCTCGCTGGAGGGAGTCGCTGCTCTATTGCCAGTCAGCCTGGAGCTTCCCTTTTCCTCCTTTTAAGCCTTTCTTGTTAGGATTTGCTTCTCATTGCTTTCAGTTTTTATGCTGTAGTTCAAGGTTGCCTGAAAAATTATTTCTATGTGTATGTCTCAGAAAATGAGGGTAATCTTCTAATTCACTAGTTTAAGATTCAGCCTCAGACAGATGACTTCTGTACAGAGCACCATGAAATTCTCAAATAAAATTAATTTTGATTTGTGTGTGTGAACCTTACGGAGAGAGAATATGTGTTATGACTTAAACTTTAGCAATGGTGTCATAGCTGCAAAGAAACTGGAAGTAATCAGTTTACATCAGTATGGCTTAGCTGCTGCCGCTGCTGCTGCTTCAGAAATCCCTTTGATTGTGTTACAAGGATCTGTGTGAGTTGTAACCACATATCCAGAATCAGATCAAATATGAATGGATAGAGCTCAACTTAGTGTCATAATATGTCAGTAACAAATGTCAGTTTGTAAATCGAGTATATATGTCCGTTTCATAACAATCAATATTCCAGATGTTCCCTAGGTGAAAAAACTAGATGATCATTTTGTATGTCTTCTGTATATAAACATAAGTATATTTATATGAGTACCACCCTCATACTCCTTATACCTAATAGTAAGACATTGCCACTAAGTCCTAAGAGTACTTCTGTGAGTACAGAAAGTGGGTGGTGTAGCCCATTTACAGCAAGAATCAAGGTTTTTGGAACACATTCAGGTCTTTGGATTCTTAGCCTGGGGGCTTCTCCCTATAGTCCTTTTGAGATTTGTGAAGTGCTAGCAATTGTAGAATAAATACAGATATTTTTCAGCGAGACAAACTCAGTAGCAGTAAACAGTGTTGACAGCATTCTTGGGTTTGAGCTTGACAACAGATGCATTTCTCCCATGTGCTCTCTTACAAGTTGTCTTAGGCCCAGAAAGACATCAAAATACAGCGGTACCTCAGTTCACGAACTTCATTTGTTCTATGATCTTGGAAAAGATGGCCACGTTTGTGTTTGTCTGGGAAAGATGGCCGAGGTCGTGTTTGTCGCCCAATGCAGAGTTAGCAAACAAAACCAAATTTTGCCGAACACTATAGTGTTTGCAAACAAAAGTGTTTGTGAACTGACGTCCCTCTGTACATCTTTTAAAGCTAGATAAATCCTCACAAGCATAAGTAAGTCAAAGAGAACAGACAGTAAGATTTCCTTCATAGAAAGTTCGAATATAGGCCAAACGAAGCCATGAGATTAGAAGTCTCAATAGCAGTTACCCTTGTTTGGGGATGAATGGCTTGGAGCGGGTTGCATGGATCTGGTTGCTGGTTATACTGAGGCTCCCTTTGGGAAGATTTACTAACTTTATCCTTCAGTAAAATTCTTAAATGCTTTACTTTCATGAGCGGCAGCTCAGTTTCAATGCTTTAGACTTGAAGAGCAGTTCTTGCATATTTATTGTATGTCACAAACTGCTATTTCCCAGCAAAGCCAGTTGGTACCCTTTTTTGTTGTTCCTAAACATGTTGCTTTGATTTTGAGTTCTTGGCCTTTCATTGTCACAGAGTTAGCTACCATGGAGCCATGGTAAAGTCCCTCATAAAATGCTTGCCAACACAACGTTAGTGGTTACATTTAAGCACAACTTTTAAGGGGTTGTGGGAGGAAAGGTATGGAAGAAGGATTGTTCAGTTGGAATGTTAATCTGTATCAAAACAGGCACTGCTAGAAATGTTTTCATGAAATTCTGATAAGGCCCGGAGCACAGCTTTCATCAGCTTCTTATAATTTAACAATTTCACACTGGTTTTTTTCCCCCCGTATAGGTGGTTTCAGAAGAGCACAAACAGTTGAACAACAATAGCTGTATCATTTTTGAAGTGTTTCTTGAGGTCAGAGCCTAAAGGAAATAAGATTGAGGTTAAAAATTACTTTGAGGAAAACTAAATTTTCATAAAAATGGAAACTGATGGTTGCAGCTATGATGTTTCTCCAGCTTTCTAATGTTAGACTAAATCTGTAAGCTTTCTGACCATGGCAAAGATAGGAAAAACTGGAAGAATGTAAAAGATTTTGTGGGTCAGCAAAACCTTCTGCAGTCCTCGCAATTTATAGACCAAGACCAGGTGAATTGTGCATTATGGGTCATGCTGAAGGGAATAAGCAGTTTTCTCCCAAACCATTGCTTCGCTTAAGCGTAATCAATTCTTTGGCTTCCTTTAAAACAATCTAATTGTAAAAATAAAATGTAGTTTTAAATGTTCCTGCCAGCTATTTACACATGGTGACTTTTTTTTCTCGGCAGTGTTCTGTTTCTTCATCAGAGGAGGAAAGACTTACTGGCATCAGGAGACCGAAAACGCCAACCTCAGCTGACTTCTCTGACCTTAATACTCAGACAAACTGGACCAAGTCACTGCCGCTGCCAACACCGGAAGAGAAGATGCGACAGCAAGCCCAGACGGTGCAGGCTGACGTGGTGCCCATCAACATAACTGGTACGTGCTGCTGAGCAGGTGCTCCTGGGAGAGGACCCTGGCTTTTGTTTTGTTACATGCTCTTAGCATTTCATTTCCACATCAAAGGGAATAGCTATGGTCCTACTTCCTGCTCCCTGTTTAATGAAAGGACTATCAAAACTGCACACACAGATACACATAAAATATCTGTTGTTTGTTGGGTCAGGAGACTGTCGTCACCCGAGATTGATGTCAAGGAACTTGATGATTCAAACATTCATTTAAGGCATGCCTTTTTTAATTGGATTGCTTTTTAATCCGATTTTGGTTATATAGGGACATTTTCTACATGTGGTCCTGGGTAAGAAAAAACTATATTCCCTTCTAAAAGGTTACTTTAAGTAATACTTATAGAAGTGAAGAAATAATTATTTTGTGATGCTTCTGACAGATTTGTTTACCTTCTTATTTTCTCAAGTAGAAAAAGGGAAGAATTCTTGAAATAAAAATATCAAGAGGATGAATAACTATAAAAATATTTTTAAAAATCTTAATAGGGCGATCATTTTATATTTTGATTTCTATAATTTCAGTTCCACAATCTTCACATAAGAATCTGTCCTACACAGAGTAAACAATTTCAGAATATGTTAAGTTGAAGTGTATTATCAGATGTGAAATTATGGAATTTTAGAGTCAGCCTTTAGTCATTTGTGCTAATTAAAATGACTGACACCAAGGTATATAAAGTTCAAAGCTGATCTTTCACACACTCAGAAGAGCTATTAAAAAGATACTGAAAAGTTGCCTGTTTTAACACTTCTGTAGCTCTAGCCTCCACAGAGAATTGGCCAGTGGTTAGGGGAAGATACAAAGGGCAAGATAGGTCAGTTAAGTGTTAAGAAGGGCTAGGTAAGGTAGAGGGAGAACAATAGGGCTGAACTATGCTTATCAGTGCCCCCGCCCAGTCAATCCCCAGTACCAAAACAGACAGACAAATGAAAGAGTTAATAGTGTGAACCATTTGACTGGTCTTTATAGAAAGAGATGAGCCATAGTCTTCATTGGTAATCAGTCAAATTGGGTGACCAAAAAGGATGATTTTCATTAACAGTTGGGATGAAACGTCATAGCATCCTTGTTCTCTACTGCGGTATAGAAAGCTTCCTGCCATGGCACTGGTGGCTGGTAAGGGCTAATGACATCTTGAAGATTTTTTAAAAACTTTAACAGGATATTTGGAAATCACATTTAGAACTCTTTCAATTCTGGGTAAAGTTAAAAAGTACATGAATTTTTTCTATTTCATTTATATTTTTTCACATTTATTTTACTTAAACCTTAAAGAAATAGTGTGGCATTTTAATCCATTGTCTTTGTAAATGGCCTGGTTGCTCTTCATGAATGTGTTTCTCTTTCACTTAGTTCATATTTTTCTAAAGATTATTTTTATAAGCAGATATGTTTCAATATGTAGTGTAGCATTTATTGCTTGATGAAATACATAGGCACATATTTTCTATAAGAGAATAAATTATATTATTTGATTGATTAAATACAGAAGTATAATTACATTATATATGATTAAATGCCTCAGAAATAATATTATGAGATAAGATTATTGTGCTGTGAAATATGATAATCCTTAATGGAATTGTGGTGAGACATTATCGTGCAATTAGGAGATTTAAAATACAGTAACTAGCATTTCAGGAATACAGAATTATTTACAATGAAATAGATCATCACACTAGAAGACAAGGAAAATTAAAAATAAAAAAATAGATGACAGCATTATATCTTTGAGTTTTAATTCTCTCCTGTGTGATGACTAAATGGATATAAATTATATGGTGTTTAAATGCCACCCAGGAAAGGGGTCTGACAGTAAAGAAATGAGCAGAGAAGTTATGTCAAAATGTAATTTACTTTTAATTAAGTGATTAATATTTTGTAGAAATGTCAGAATTAAATATATCTAATAACATGTATTACTCTGTTTTATGGATCTGTGTGTTCACACACACACGCGTATTTCTTCAATGATTCATTTTTCTAATCTGGTGTAAAGAAGCAATAAAATTTAAAATTTTCCCTTTTGGTAGGTAGACTGATACTGCTTCTTGCTCTTTAAATTACAGATTTCTAAAGTTGTAGTAGATTTTTGAGATTAAAAAAAGTAGCTTCTTGTAGGAAATTGTCATGAACTCAATACTTTGGGGGAGCTTCTCATCAGGGAGAAACAGTTGCCCACAAATATATTGCTTCAAATACAGAGTGAAGGGGCTGGCAGTTTGGTTCAGTGGTTCCTCCTCCTACCTTGCAAGCGCAGGGTCCTGAGTTTGATCCCCGGTACCAAACAAACAAACAAACAGAGTGAAGCCCACCAGGCCTAGAGGTGTAGAACGTCATCATAATAAACTAGAAAATGGATTTAATCCCTTTAGTGATAATCCCGTGAGGACTTACCATGTTCTAAAAGTTTAAAATAAAAAGTACATATGGGGATAGGGATTTAGCTCAGTGGTTCTGCCACCTGCCTCGCAAGCGCAAGGTCCTGAGTTTGATCCCTGGTACTAAAACAAAAACCAAAACAAAAGTACATATAAATATATTCCATAAGTTGCCATGTGGGATAACAATTCTTCTACCTGAAAGATGAGTGTAGGGAGTAAACACACTTAAACGATTTTTGCAAACTGGCTAGTGTTTGAACTGTCTTATTTCTAAGTGATAACCACAACTAACTGGTGCCATTTTTCAAAGAGTGATTCAATCCAACAGTTGTTTACTGAGTAACTACTTTGTGCAAGGTATTAGGTGAGTGCCATAGGTGATCCTAAGGGACATGATTCATGCTCTCTACCCTCAAAAAATGTATAACCCAGCAGCTGAGATAGTTCTTTTATTTTGTACATTTGTTTGTTTGTTTGTGTTTTGAGACTTGCTATGGGGTCTTGCTATGTAGTGCAGGCTATTTTTGAACTCACTGTGTAGTCCAGGCTGGCCTTGAATTCACAGTGATCCTCCTACTTCAGCCTTGCAAGTGCTGGGATCGCAGGTGTGCACCACCATGCCCAGCTGAGATAGTCTTTTTTTAGACTGAGATGCAAATGCTTTTCCTGGTGATTGTTGTAGATGTTCATCTTCATTTGGTTTATTTCTTCATTTCCTTGGAATTCAAGTGGACTTATTTTTGTTTTTGTTATGGAAGCAAAACTGGAGACTAAATACAACTTTCTGTTAATGTATTGTCCATTCTCGGTTTTCGTTTTGTTTTGTTTTGGTGCCAGGGATCAAACTCAGGACCTTGCGCTTGCAAGGCAGGTGGTGGCACCACCGAGCCTCTGGCCCTATATTGTCCATTCTTAATGTCCTGATACAGGGAATTTTTTCCTGCTGCTCCAGGGAACTAATGAACCACTGAAGTCCTGACTTGCCCCCTTCACGCCTCATGTGTGCTACTGCACATAAGTGACCCGTTTGTCACAGCAGTGGTACCTTCTGATGTTTCAGGCTCTTCTCTCAATTATTTCTGTTATTCTCTATTTGGGACAAAGTTGCAAGAATTTGCAAGGTTGCAAGCATTTATTTATGCTTTCATAAAATATGCTCCTCATAGGGGAAATGTGTTTGGATCATTCAGATCTTTTTTCTGTTTTGGTTAGATAAGGTTCACAGTTTACTATGCTCAAAATGCAAGTTACATTGTCCACAACAGAGCCATTGTGAATAGAGTGAATATCTTATACTTTCCTTGTGCATAGGAATGATGGAAATATGATGTGTTTGTATATTTGTATATATATTATTCTCTTTTGGGGGAGAATAACCTTGTAAAGCAATCAATGCTATAAAACTTCCTTAACCAAATTAGCAAATAATTTAATCAGACCAATCAGTAACTTGTAGTGCTACAAATGTTATTATTTTATGGTTTCCCATGGTGTGTAATCACACAGACTTACACTTTAGGGAGGAAAAGAAGTCCTGTGGTTGTGGCCTCTGGGATTTGATGGCAGCATTGCTTGAAATGGCTCAGTTAAGGTTACCATTAAATGGTGGTCATGAAACAGAGAGAAGCAGTTGGTTTTGGTAAGAGCAGTGCTATGGGGGTCTCATTGTGACCAAAGTACTTTGTCATTAGAAGGCTTTTCATTTTTCATTAAAATTATATCTCACACTATAACAATTTCCACAGTCTATGCAAATTGTCAGCCTCTTTGGATGAAGAAAAAGCTGTGGATCTTGATTAAATTATTTTGTTTCATTGCAAGACCCAATATGATACTGGTCCCTGTGGGATGACCAGGTGAGCAAAATACCTGTTGCCATCACCACTGATGCGCCCAATAAAGAGTGATTTCGGTGAGCAGAGACCTGTGTGAAACACTTCCAAGCTGCTGCATTTTAAAAATAACAGAATCACCCTTCTGGTATGTTAATATTACATCCCATTTGCTATTCTGGCTTGTTAGAAAATGAGATCGAGGTACGTCCTTCAGAAGGACGTGTGCCCAGAAATCGGAAAGCAGCCTTCTGGTGATAATGTACATTCCTTCCTTTTACGCCCTTCAGCATTCATCATCATGTGACTGGCTAACATCATTATTAATACCTTCTTATCATATTACAATGAGCTTCTGGAAGAAAGTGCATGGTGTCAGCTTGCTTGAAAATAACATTGCTTTGCTTGTTCTACTGCTCTACATTAGGGGAGAATTTCGATCGCCAGGCCAGCCTTCGGCGGTCTCTAATTTACACAGACACTCTGGTAAGACGACCGAAGAAAGTCAAAAGGAGAAAGACTATTACAGGAGTCCCTGACAACATACAGAAGGAGCTAGGTATGGCTCTTCAGAACTGCATTTTTGCCCCTCCTTGCTGCTCGGCATTACTCCGCTAACCTCGTGTGGTGCTTAGACAGTTCATACATTCTCATAGCAAACTTCTTTCCTGACAAAGCATGAGGTGCAAATCCTACATCCCATGAAGGCAAATCACTGCATTTTTGGAAGACCGGAAGGGGAACAGCCTATATGAAAACTCTTAATTGGGATGATAGACACTGAGTGTTTGTCATCTCTAGGCACCTTGAACATTGGTTATTTCCACAATTAAATTTACTTTTCATTTAGAATTTGGATTCTTATGAACTAAAGCCTTATTCTAGGACTTCCCATTATGAGTGAGAACTTCTACAGTTACACTGACAATACTGTGGCATGATGTCTTGAGGCCATAGTCAGGAATTATTGGAAAATGCCAATATGACAGAAAGTGATCATTTAGGTCAGCAAATGATCGTTTATGTCAGATAACATTATTACTTTCAGTGAAACAGTTTCATACCTTTTTCTTCAGTACTTTTCAACCTATGATCAAGACAGAAAAAGAAAATATTAGGGCTGGTGGAGAAGGTTGTGAACTCACTATTCACTCATCATCCTGCTGGTGTTTGTGTTTCCATGTGCTTTGGGCAACCCGTTCATTTTCCTCTGTGATACTTTCCTTTCCCTGCTTCTTGGGACAGCTCATGGGTGACCTTGGGCAGGTCACCTTACCTCTCTGGGTCTGCTTCCTTGTTCCGAAAATGGAATGGTAATGGTAATAGAATCTACCTGATAGAGTCATTGAGACTAAATGAATTTGTATCTGTGATGCACTTAGTACCTGGTACTATCACAAATGTAATAGCCATTGTTGTCATTATTGCAGGGAGCGTAATGCTACCTGTTTTGACATTTTTCTCTTCCTCTTTTGCCAACCTGTGGGCTTATTTCCCAATAGTTACTACCACCTGACGTTATTTACTTGTCTTTATTATTAACAGTTTCACTCCAGAAACTGAGTCATTACTGTATTCCTGAAATTGCTTACTAGCTTTTTAGTAAGTAAAGCAGGCTTATCCTAAAAAACAGTGAAGTATCTATTACAGCACCTTGAGGTAGGGTTTCAGCCTCTGGTGCCACAGGCAATTTGCCTGTGTCTTCTTTTTCCCAACACTGTTGCTTAAATGTCTGGTATTAGGGAGGGCAGGCTCACTCTTCTTTACCTGGCATTTTTGCTTTTACTGACATGCAGTCCTACATTATCTGCTCTGTGCTTTCTAGACTGAAGCAGCATTTGGACAAGAATAGCAGTGCTTTGCCTCTGCCCTAGGTAGCTCCTGTGAGCTGGGTGAGGACAGGTTCTGGTCCTGTTCTGTAGCAGGAACACTGGCTAGAAGGAAAGGCAGGACTGTCCCTGCATCCATGGGATGTGTGAAGTCCCTCTTTGGCTCAGGGCCTGCACGCTGCTCCTATGGCTGCCTGAAGCTTCTGCTACCTTCATTAAACCTAGGCCTAGAAAAGCCTTGTGCATTTTCCCTTCTCCTCAAAATGTAGTTGTATTTCGTTCTTTCAAACTTTTTTTCCTGCTTATTGAGGTGACAGCTACCAAATTTGAGAAGCTAATCTGTATGCGTATGCTCAGAAGGTATGTAATGGGCTAATTTCTTACAGTAATCAGGAACTCTTATACTTTATCTGGTCTTTTTAGAAGATGTGCTTTCATTAAAGGAATGATTGTAAGGACAGGCATTTAGGCCCTTTGTAAGAAAAAAAGGTTGAAGATTTGAGGAAAGCTACATTTTAAGTGGCTTTCCAAGCAGAATAAGAAGGTTCTGCATGATTTTGTGTAGAGTATTAGGCTAGTTTGGCCCATATTTAATAATACTTCTTGGACCACATATGTAATATACAGCCTAGAACCTGAGAGTTAGGAACTTTTATTATTGAACCAGCCAATGTGGAGCCAATAATTTGATGTTTGTTTTCATCACACTTAAACGACCTGTCCCTCTGGGTAAATCATATCTTTTGCAATTTTCGTATTTTTTAAATTAGTGATTGCATCCCTGGAACACACATTTATTTCTTGTTTGCATGTGACATGGTACTGCCACTGATGCTGGAGGAGAGAAAATAGCTTTCCCTACATCATCTGTGTTGGTACCGTTGGCAGGCCGGGGGCAGTTGGTGTCACTGCATAGCCACGGACATGACCTGGATGTCAGCTGAGGAGTCACAGAGACAACTGTGTCTAAGTTAGAGCTGGTTAAAAACAAGAAATAGACAATTAAACAAGGACTCAGTTTTACAGATAGGCTAGTTCAAGGTTTAGTGGATAGAATGAGGGAAGTAGCATGTGAAAACAGTTCTGTTTAGCAGAAGAATTGGATTATATATTTGCCCTATCCTTTCAAGATTTCTGGTTGACCTTGCAATGACTCTCCATATTTTGTATTTATAAAGATTCTGGTTTGGAAGTCTGTGCTACCTAATGATTACCAACAGTAGACACCTCATACTTCCTTTAAAATTAGTCTTTCTCTAGATACAACACACTGGGAAGTGTGGCTGAGTCATAAAAAAGTTAGACAAAAGGGGAATTGGTTCTCTGGAGGAAAGGCAGTCACTAGGAAAGACACACCCTGTCTGTTAGACGCTGTCCAACCTGCCATGGGTTTAGAGTTTAAAACTCCAGCCATATAGAGGTACTTCCACTAGAAAGCCATATTATGCTTAATTAAGGGCAGTTTTTAGTTCAAAATCCATGAATTGTAGACTCTGGAGACTAACCAGCATATAGTGCTTTAAAACCAAGGTAGGGGGATTTAGCTCAGTGGTTCTGGGGCCTGCCTCGAAAGTGCAAGGTCCCGACTTCAATCCTTGGTCCTCCCCCCCCAAATAAAACCAAGGTAGGATATTTAATGTAATATAATATTTAATGTAATGTCAATTCTCATCTATTGTTTAAGGTCTTTAAGAAAACATTAATTAATTTATTTATTTAGGTACTGGGGATCGAACTCAGGACCTTGTGCTTGTGTGGCAGGCGCTGGAACCACTGAGCTAAATCCCTGGCCCAAGAAATCATTATTTTAAATAAGAAAATGTATTCAGCTGTAGACAAAGAAATGCCTATATTTCTATTTTCAGAAGCCTAGCATAAGTTCACACTCAAAACACATGTACCAACTCCCCACAGGGAATGTAAACATCATGTACTACAAACATGCACTAATTTAAAAAAAAATAAAGGAAGGCTAATTAATAGGAAAAAAAGAAAAAAATCATTACTCAAAAATATGAGGATTTTACTTATGGCACTTAAATGGTTAAAAATCTACCACTGACCCCAAGCAAAAAATCACTGCAGGTTTGAAAGAAAAACATTAAGACCCATTGTTGAATAGAATGAGGTATCTCAAATGTTTGGCATGAAGTGAATGCAGCATAAGCCAACCTCTCACCTTCCAGATGACCGAATGGCAGGAATTCACACCTTCTGTTTTTCTTTCCTCAAAGTGGGCTTTTTCTTGCTCCTGCCTCTTTGCCCACTTTTCCTTTCTGAAGCAGTCACGCACATGCGTGAGTGTGTGTGTGTATGTTCATTGAGTGTTTGGCAGAGGGTGGAGAGAGGAAATAGAGCCTCTTTGGTAAAAACACAGTATAATCATGATTCTCCATTGGCACAGTGAAGGAAAGTGCTGTATCATGGGAGCCTTCCTTGTGGGGCGACATCTTTGAGGTGCGTACAAGCTCACTGCTATCATTTTAGTGACACCCTTTGCTATTATGGTGAGGAAAGGGTTTACATACGCAGTCAGGGACATGTGGCACATGGTGAAATGGGGGCAGGGCAGGCTGAGGACTCCCATGGTTACTAGGGCCTTGTCCAGGTAGCCGGAGGCTCAGGTAAAGTCATTCAGGAAAGCTGGGGCCTGAGATCCTTTCTTTTGTGTTAATTTCCAAAGTGTATCTGATGCCTTATAACTTGTTGTCTTCCATTTAAATGAGGGAGACAAAATTATAATCTTTTTATTCAATCATAAGCCTACACAGAAATGAATCTGAGCATCATGTTATGAGGTTTCTTCTTTTAGAATCAGATAGAATTATTTTGTTGATATACAACTGTATTTGACTACTGTCCCTGTATATGTTTCTTACTAGATGAACACCACATAGAGAGAACCATGGTTTTGCTACTATTTTTAAAGGTTTAATTCGTCCCGAGGACTGATTTCACGTTCTCAGTACATTCTGGGGACGCTCTTGGCTTCATGATTTTTTTTTTTTAAACTATGTTCTTTTCTGGGTAGCCTGAGATCTGTTTATCTATACTTAAGGTTTTTCTCATCCACTTCCTTCTTTTTTTGCCATTCCTCACGTTTCTTTCTTTTTAACATGGTGCTTTCTGTTTGGTTGTAAAACTCCAAGAAATGATTAAGCCTAATTTGAGTTGTTTACCGGATCAGTTCCTGCTGCTCTACCCCCACCAGAACACAACAGATTGCTGTGGAATCTTGGATGTCACAAACAGACAGATGATAAGGGCTTAAGATGGATAATGAAATGTTTGAAACACAGATGGGCCTGTAAATCAAGTTTCTTTTTCTTAGGATTTCCTTCTGACATTAAAAAAAGAAATTAAATGTAATTAACACTATTTTATAACAATATCCCTTGTAAATGGTATTTCTGAGGCTCTGTTGTTCTACTGCTGCATTCATTGTTTGGGGGGAAGATAGTCCCTGCTTGATAGATACTCTGTACCTGTGCAAAAGTGTACCTTGAAGTCTTTCCTAAAAGCTGGTTATGTGAAAGGTAAATCCTGCACAGCCATATGTGGTACTCAAGCTGTAGGAGGATTTGAAGTACATAGTAAGAAGAAAAGTACATGATAAAATAAGGATTTTTATCTTAGGAGGTATCAGGAGCTATTTAAACTCAATTAGGTATGCATAGGAAAGAAGAAACTAAATCAAAGAGAAAAAGTATTTTTGTTTGTTTCTTTTAATCACAACAGAGTCAGAAGGGGCCGGGGGCACAAGTGACGCCGTGGATTTCTGTTTTCAGGATTACAAGCCTCTTTCTGCTTTCTCCCCAGCATCAGGCACTGGCCAAGATGAGGCCGGTGGTCCCTCAGGGTACCCCCCAGACCACTGTTCCATGCGAGGAAGGCTTGATAGCTATCACTGTGCTGGGCAGCGCTCAGAAACCAGGGACTCCGGCTGCCAGACCGAGGATGTGAAAGTTGTGCCACCCTCGATGAGAAGAATCAGGGCCCACAAGGGGCTGGGCATTGCCGCCCAGATGAGCCCCTTCTCAGGCTCCTCCGGCAACATGTCTGTGCTGAGCGATCCGGCGGGTGTCACATTCCCCTCTCGCCTCAACAGTGACGCTGGCTTCCACAGTCTTCCACGTTCTGGGGCCAGGGCCAGTGCTCACTCCCTGGGTGCCCTGGGCCCTGCAGATGATGTGGACAGCTCCTTCCCCTACCAGAGGGCTAACTCACATGGAGACAACAACTTAGGACATTTCGGAGGTGCCCCGAGGTCAGGAACATTTTTGAGGCCCAAATCCCAGGAGCTGAGGCACTTTGAGAGTGAGACCGTAACAAGCCCAGCGTGTATGGTCTCCCCTCATGCGACCTACTCCACCAGCATCATCCCCAATGCCACCCTCTCGTCGTCTTCGGACATTATCATTCTTCACACTGCTCAGAGTGTGGGGCCGCTCGACAGCAGAATGACCAGCTCCTCGTACTCAAGGATCAAACCCAGACACGGTGTGCAAGTTGGTCACCAGTCCCCCAGCCATCACTGGAGTGACGGCCACTCCTCCATTCATTCACAGCCCTTCGACTCCCATTCCCCCAGTATCACCACACTGCTGTCCGTCTGTGGCTCAGAGGTCTCTCCCAATGGGTCCCAAGCCATGCCTTGTAATTGCAGAAACACCCTGAGTTTCCCAGCCCACTCCCAGGATGTGGACGGCAAGAGTGAGTCCAGCTCTTCCGGGGACAGAGGGCAGGGCAGTGTGGAGCCGTGGGAGCACAGGGCCTCTGGCAGTGGGCGGGTGTCACCCCTGAAGCCCCATCTGGCTGCCCCTGGCTGCTCTACTCCCACAAGTAACCAGAGCAGCTGCAGTTTGGACCAGACATCCACCAGAGAGGATGCAGGCTCCCTGTGCTCCGAGGACCACGCTGCCTACTACAGGTCGGTGCACAGTGACTCGGGATGTGGGCCTGGGAATCTGTGCAATAGCAGTGGTGGCTTTGAGAACCCCAGGGACAATGTGGTCAATGTTTTCGATGGAAGAGCTCAGAAAAGCCAAGGGGACCAGTCAGGGTACCCTGATAAATCCCTTCCAAGAAACATCTCTTTGAAGAAAGCCAAGAAGCCTCCCCTGCCGCCGTCCCGGACAGACTCTCTCCGCAGGATTCCCAAGAAGAGTGGCCAGTCGAACGGGCAGGTGCTTAATGAGAGCCTGATCGCCACACTCCAGCAGTCGCTGCAGCTGAGCCTCCCGGGCAAGGGTGGCAGCTCGGCCTCGCAGAGTCCCTGCAGTGACTTCGAGGAGCCCTGGCTGCCCCGCTCCCGGAGCCAGAGCACGGTCAGCGCTGGCAGCAGCATGACCTCCGCCACCACCCCCAATGTGTACTCCCTGTGCGGGGTCACGCCGTCGCAGAGCGACACGAGCAGCCTCAAGTCGGAGTACACGGACCCTTGGGGCTACTACATTGACTACACAGCTGTGCAGGAAGAGCCCGGGGACCCAGCGGGGTGTGGCTCAGCCAGCAGTGGAGCCCCTACTGGGAATGGCCCAGTCCACCACATCCAAGCGGAGTCCAAGGCCATGATGCCCCAAGTGCCGGGCAAACCAAAGGTCATATCGCCAGAGAAGTCCCAGAGAGTCACTTCTCCATCCAGTGGGTATTCCAGCCAGTCGAATACACCCACAGCACTCACCCCCGTGCCTGTGTTTTTAAAATCAATGTCACCAGCCAATGGGAAGGGGAAGGCCAAGCCCAAGGTACCAGAAAGGAAGTCTTCCCTGATCTCTTCAGTATCCATGTCCTCCTCGTCCACGTCTCTGTCCTCTAATACGTCCACCGAAGGTGGCGGCACAGTGAAGAAGCTGGATGCTGCCCCAGCTCTGCCCTTTGCTCCTCCTCCCCTTTCTCCTGTCCCAGCCCCATGTCCTGCAGATAAGCCCTCCCTTCTTCCCCCACCTCCTGTAGCAGATAGCCCCGAGTGCTCCCCTCTGCCTCACTCACCTGTGTTTCCCCCTCCACCCCCAGAAGTGCTCACCCTCTTCTGCTCCCCCACTGATGGGTGCTGTCCCCCTCCCCCCCCTGCACTGAGCCCCTTTATGCCAGATGCACTGGCTTCCTCACCAGCGCCCCCACCTTTCCCACCCTTCTTGGAGCCCCCACCTGCCCCCCCTCTGGACCCCAAATTTATGAAACACACCAGGCCTCCTTTGAGAAAGTCTGGGCAGCCTGAATCCTCCTGGGAGGCCCTCAGGCCATCTCCGAACAAGGAGGAGAGTGGCAGGCCTCCCATGCCCCTCATCACCACGGAAGCACTGCAGATGGTACAGTTGAGGCCCGTGAGAAAGGGCTCAGGCGCCGAAGTGGCACTGTCGCCTGAACCAACAGCTCAGGAACAACGAACTCCGACTGCTCTGCAATATCACTTAAAGCCATCTGCTCTCCTGAAATCCCGAAATAGCATAAATGAAATGGAGAGTGAAAGCCAGCCTGCCTCTGCAACTAGCTCGCTTCCGACGCCTGCCAAGAGCCAGAGTCAGGGTGACCGTGACAGTGCAGCCGAGCATGGCGGTCCTGCGAGCTGCAGCTATGGAGCGCCACGTCCTGGGCCAGGCTCCAGGGAAGCAGAGTCTGGGCCTGGCCTCAGGACCACCCCACTCCCAGACTCTTCACCCATCAGGAAGCCGCCCCCCATCTCCAGAAAGCCCAGACTGTTCCTGGTGGTGCCACCTCCACAGAGAGATTTGGAAGCGGAGCCCTCGGAGAATGGGAGTGAAGCCCTCCGAGCTGTGCCCAGCTCCACCAGGGCAGAGGAGGGCTCCGCGCACAGCAACGAGGCGAAAGGGGGTTTTGCAGCCCAAGCCAGTCCTCACGCCACGGACCCCAGCAGCTTGGTTTTGGAGGGAGGAGCTGCAGGGTTCGTGGAAACCAATGCCCCCATGGTACAGCCTGATGCCTCACCAGCCCCCACGCAGGCAGAGCCAGCCGGGGACGGCGCAGATGGTGGGGGCAGTGCAGAGAGCTGCCCTTCTCAACAGGATGGAGAAGGTAAGTCCGGCTTCTCTCTGCTGTGTTTCTCTCTTCATCTGCAGCTGCGCCAAATAGGCCTGCTGAGTTACACATGGGACCCAGGTAGATCAGATTTATCCACAGGAAAGCTAGCAGCATGTGGGCCTCTGCATGTAAGTTACAACTTTACATTTTGTGACTTTTTTTCCCCAAAAAAATCCAGGTCTAAGGGGAGAGCTTACAGAGTTGGCAGAAAATAGGGAGGTGGGGGTGGTTTGTAGCAGGCTGGGTATGAAATAACAATGAATAATCTCCCTTCTGAAGAACTGCAAAGAAACGTTCTCTCAGAATTTAAGAGGAATCCAGTACAAGTTCTGTAGCAGACAGGAGTGAGCCCTAGCTGGCAGGCTTGTGTCATTTCCTGCATCTTTGTTAAACCAAGAACTGCAGACCCCACCGTGTCCCCGTGGCTCTCAGACTGTCAGGAATGGCAGAGAAGCAGCAGATTTGGGAGCCTGGCAGAGGGTTGAAATTCTAGTCGAGACATCTCATTGCCTGCCTGCTTGCTTCTCCCTAGCTGGGGTGCAGGAGACGCACTCAGCCGATCCCTCCTCGGAAGCTTGTGACGCCTTCAACAAAGATGACGTCGAGGAGGTGACGACCCCCACGAGACCCAGGACCACCGAAGACCTTTTTGCAGCTATTCACAGGTATCCTCCATTCTACTTCAATCTTCTTTAGAAATCCTTCTTTCCAAACGGTTCCTCTGTTTTCTTTTCTTGAGGTTTCTTCTGCCACCCGGCTGTGACTCATTAACTTTATTATTGATATTTTTTCCCCCCGTGTTTCTCTGTTTTTATTGGCTCTGACTCCGATTTCTGTGTTGCTTTGTTCCACTAAAACCGTGTCATCATAATTGATGTTGGGGACAGAGGCTCGGTGGGATGGTGGGATACCGTCTGGTAGGTACTGCTCTTGCTGGCAGGAAGCGCAGTGTTTTGGTCACGTGACAGTGTTTATAGGAATTGGTTAGAGCAGCCGGTGAGGCGTCCAGCGTGTGGGACTTAGATGCACAAACTAGCTCTACAGTGTCCCTTCTTGAGTATCTTAGCGCCCCCCCCCGCCATTTTACAGAAAAACCATAATTTTGTGGTACAGTTCTTTGACTTCTTTGATATGTCAGTGAAGGTACATCTTTATACCAGAGCGAAGGTAATGAAATTTGCTTGCTCCTGCAAGCCACTAGTGCCATCTACTGGCATCAGAAATTGTTGGGTTAAAGAAAAAGTACTTACAGCGTCCATTTTTCAAAATGAAGCCCCAGAAGGGCTGGCACCTGCCTGGCAAGTTTGAGGCCCTGAGTTTGATTCCTGTAACCAAAAAGAAAAGTGGGGAAAAAAAAGACCCAAATTTTAAAAAACACGAAAAACTGTTTTACGGAATGGAAAGCATGTCCCTACTTGGACCTCCCCATGGAACATGCAAATATCTAACTTCAGGCAAAACTAGGCTGGAAAACTGAGTTATTAACCAAGAATTACATCTTCTTTGCTCTGGTATTGGTGTATAGACCTAAAGACTGTTCCTTTAATGTTGTCTGACTGGTTACTTTGATCTTATCAGACACAAAAAGATAGTTGGAGCCAGGCCTGTTAGAACATGTCTGTAATTCCAGCATTGAAGGAGCTGAGGCAAGAGGGTCTCAAGTTCAAATCCTGCCTGAGCAACCCAGCGAGACCCTGTCTCAAAAAAATAAAAAATAAGGGGGTCTGGGGGTTTAGCTCAGTGGTAGAGCTCTCCTGGATTTGATCCCCAGTACTGGAGAAAAGAAAATGGCCAGTTATTCATCTGTTCTTCAGAACAGAAAAATGAAGTGGTGTGTCTTTTGAAACCAAACTTAGTGGCATCTCTAGAAGTGTACACGGATGTCTCTAACTTTTTCCACAACAGACAAATAATAAACATTCGGTAAGCATTTTCTGAATTAAATGAAACAAACTGGAATTTAACTGTTAGGAAATTCCCCCAAAACTCAGTCTTTCATTTAGGGTACAGTGTGTTGAATTGCTAAATATATAGGAATATATATTTATAATAGGAAGCCACAGGGTTTATGTTGCCTGGTTGCTCTGTGTACTAAATACTTGGTCTCAAGGAAACCCAACTGCTGCGGGGCCAAGTAAGTGCATAGTTTTCCCAAAACTATGCCAAAGGTCTCTTCTGTACTTTACTTTGGCAACCTTCAGAAGGCACTGAAATATGTGTGGTTTCTCCTAATAGACAGTTCCATGTACTACACATGTCCAAATGGGCCAGTCTTTTATCCACTATACACATGAAAGAAGTAAAGGCCAAGTAGGCTTGGAATGTCTTGCAAAGAGAGAGCAAGGACCCGGGGTAATTTCCGTTGTAGCATTAATACTATGTTAGCAGATGTAATAAAAATCCATCTGAAATCTGTACTATGTAGAGCTTTATTTTCATATCGTTCAGCCCCTAAATTCATAATTTAAAGAATATCTAAATTGAAACCTAGCTTGCAAATCTTATAATGCAAATGAATTCACTTCAGATTTAAAGCCAGATGGAAAGTGTTGAGCACCATGTGAGGTGTGAAGTTTTTATATTTATTGAAGTAATTAGTTTTTAAGCCAGTGTTAACTGTGTAAGTACTTTTTATAGTTGTCTTCTTTAGAAATACACACACACACACACACACACACACACACATGCAGCAAATTCATATGTTTAAATTTATTCTCACTCTGAGTACCAGCTGCTCTCGAGAAACAGCAATGCTCTACTAAAAACCTATCTTCTCTTTCAATTCTGTATCTACAATTAAAGGTCATAGCTTTAATCTAGTGTAGTTGTGGGTTGGTTTATGTGTTGGCATAGCCTCCCCTCACATCAAGAGCCAAACAAAAAAATTACACCACAGGCCAGTATTTGAAAGAGTGAGGGTAGCTGAGCTGCTTTAGAGGGTCCCTGGCGTACCTACACTGTGAGACCACGTGCTGTGAGTGGAAAGAAAATGCCACCAAGTCCTGCTGGTCATACTCACCAGCTATGTGTCTTTTCTCTGCACCTCTGTTACTTTCTCTAAAACCCAACATGGTTGGACTGGACCAGTGACTGCGAACCTTTCAGAGCCTTCATGATACAAACAGCCCACTAAAACACACGCGCCACAGGTTCACCATGACTGCACTAGACCACTTCTAAAGTCTATTCCAGTTCTACAGTTTGGAGATGTTCTTCCTTCTGTGTTTTGTTCTGGGTCCTAATCTTTGGTCCATCCAGGCCGCTGCTCTTGTTGACCAGCGAGTAGGACCATTGAGCCAGTCTTATAGGCCATACTCTGTGTCCCGCAGGAGCTGGTGTCCCGTCAGCTCTGGCCACCCTTCAGCCTTGCCTGCCACTTTGGTGGCTTCTTTTTGGCCAGAAGCATGGAGACAACTCTGGGGGCACCGGCATGCCAGGGCAGCCACATTTGTCATTGCTGTAAGCCACGTGGAAACTAAGGCTTGACCTCGTGGCAGAAAGCAAGAATTTGTTTCCTCCATGGCATTCAAACCTTTGTGAAGCACAAATGTGGCGACGGAGGTGCAGCATAGGTGGGCATCTAGTCCAGATCACACAGCTCTGCTCAGCACACTCGGCTTCCATTCTTCCTCTGCACGCAGCACAACCTCTCCCAGCTGCAGGGGCGGGGATTTCATAGCGGGAGAAGAGACAGACTTGAGGTATTGGGGGATGAACCCAGAGCTTTCCTACTGGGCAACATCCTCAGCCCTTTTTGGGGACAAGGTCTTGCTCAGTTGCCCAGGCTGTGCTCAGAACTTGCCATTCTCCTGCCTCAGCCTCCCAGAGTGCTGGGATTACAGCTCTGTTCCACCACCCTTGGTTCCATGTCTTTTTTTTTTTTTTCTAAATAAACTGTATCAAGCTTCCATCAGGCAAATCTCCCTACCCACCTGCCATTTACTGTGTAGTTGTTAGGAGGAGACTGGCCAGGGGCTCTGGACTCACCTACCTTCTCCTCCCTGATTTACTATCAGTATCGTAACACATTGGATGGGGAGGCTCTCTGAGAATGAGGGCACCAAATCCCCACAGCAACATTTTCGTTCCCCTGGTCAGCTCCTGCTCCCTCACACTGCACCCCATCCCTTGAATTTTCTTAGTCATTGTGAGGTTTTCTGAAGTCCACCCTGAAACAGGGTCTGGTGCAGAGGGTACGTGCTTGCTTTCTGGGAAACTGACGCTCTAGAAGTTGATGTGTAGTCTTGTAAGAGCCGAGGAAGGCAGGTTTTGTGTCAAACTTCATAATGACTGAGTACTCGGAGGGTAGGGCTATTCTAGAACCTGGAGTGGGGCAGATCTTATAGAGGGAATAGTCTGGCACAGCCCCTGTGCAAGCATCAAATAAGAAAAGGAAAAGTAGAAAGAAAGGCTGCGTAGCGTGTGACATGCTCTCAGTCAATCCCGTCTGGAGAGTTAAGGGAAAGGTAGCAATCACTGAAAACTTTGGAAATGGTCTTGCCCAAAGTGAGGTAGTACAATGACTGAGGTTTGTTTCAAAATAATTCAGGACGACTCGTAATCCCTAATGTTAGAAGCAGCCTGTGTGTCTCTCTACAGACGACTGGAAACAGAAAATGTGGTGTTTACATACCATGGAGCACTACTCTGCCGTAAAGATACACCTGAGTCATTTGCAGGAAAATGGATGGACCTTGAGACCATAATTTTAAGTAAAATAAATCAGAGACACGAACTTAAATATCAAGGGTTTCACTTACATGAGAAACCCAAAATGTAAATAAAGAGCAGAATAATAGAGATAATAGGAAACAGGGAGACATCTTTCACAGTAGGGAGGTGGCGGGAAGGGAAAGGAGGGGAAGGGAGGGGGATGAAAAAGAATTAAGACGTGTTAAGGCCACACTCCAGTTCCCACGAGGAATGGAATCGTTCGATACTGCAAACGTACTAATAAAATTTTTTAAAAAATATTCCATTGAGAGTGGAGATTTGGCGTAATGATTCTCATAGGCAGTTTTGGTGATACAACAAAATGTTCTTTTCTTCGAGGATGTTCAGTTTTCCATAGTTAAAATTAAGTTTGAGAAAGTCAGTCTTAAGTCGTTGGTGTGCTGAAGAAGTATGAAGAGCAGCCGTCAAAGAGCAGCCGTCGGCGATGGTGGCCAAGGTGAATGAGAATTAACCTTTATCTCGATGCCATTAAATCACAGATCCAAAAGGAAAGTTCTTGGCCGGAAAGACTCGGAGGACGACCACTCGCGAAACCACTCTCCCTCGCCGCCGGTAACCCCCACGGGCGCCGCCCCCAGCCTGGCCTCCCCCAAGCAGGTGGGGTCGATCCAGAGGAGCGTGCGCAAGAGCAGCACCAGCAGCGACAACTTCAAAGCCCTGCTGCTCAAGAAGGGCAGCCGCTCAGACGCCAGCGCCCGCATGTCGGCGGCCGAGATGCTCAGGCACACGGACCCGCGGTTCCAGAGGTCCAGGTCGGAGCCCGCGCCCGACACCCCCGAGAGCCCGTCCAGCTGCTCGCCCAGCAAGAGCCGCCGGGCGCAAGAGGAGTGGGCGCGGAGCGAGGGCCCCATGCCGCGCAGCCTGTCCTTCTCGGGGCCCCGCTACGGCCGCAGCCGGACGCCGCCCTCCGCCGCCAGCAGCCGCTATAGCGTGCGGAACCGCATCCAGAGCAGCCCGATGACCGTCATCTCTGAGGGCGAGGGCGAGGCAGGGGAGCCTGCGGACCCCAGGGCGCGCCGCGCCAAGCCGTGCGCTCGGGACCAGGGCGAGCAGGGTTGCGAGGAGCCGGACGCCCCCTTGCGGCCTCGGACTCCCGGGCGGGCAGATGAGGGCGGGGACCCCTCGGAGCCCCTTGGGGGTGCTGGCTTGGAGGAGAGCTAGGGCCAGAGCCGGACTCCCGGGAGACACAGCGGATATGTGGGGGCGCGCGTTGCCGCTGCGCTCTGGAGCCCGCGGGCGTGGCGTCTTCCCCGGACCCTGCTGCAGGCGTTAACGGCGCCGCGGGGATTTAGGACTCGCCGCCACTTGCCACTTGGGTGTAGCTTGAAAGCAAGTAGAAGCCTAAACTTCTGAAAGTGCTTCCTGGGGAAGATTTTTTTCTTGCAAAAATGGCTGGGTGTGAGTGTGGGTGTGTGGGGGGCATTTCTAACACTTTATTTTAACAGATACACACACGAGCAGTATGTACAGAAATAGAAAGAAAGCGTTAAGTTCGGTGGAGTCAGGGAGGCTTCCAGACTAGGTGGTGAGTGCGTTCAAAGCGTGACGTTTGCAGAAACCAGCGAGCTCCCCAGAAGGGGGAGGGCTGGCGCTCATGGACCCCGCCTGCCCTGTGCTGCTCGGTGAGGCAGGCCTGGGGTGTAGGAAGCAGTAGCGAAGGGCTAAGAGACTAATGGGGTTCAGGTACTTTTTTCTGGGGGAAAAAGGCTTTGTTTCTTTTTTGTAAAAATGACAAATATGGAAGTGGCGATGCTATAACTCGGTGCCTGCTGCTGTGCAGCCACAAACATGCAACTTTTAGCCTGGAGTTTCAAAGTGGGCCGTTTTTAAATGACTTTCCTCCTCTGGCGGCAGCCAAGCCCTTCCTGGGAACTGGTGTAGATGTAAGAGCAGGAGGAGAAGCGAGGGAAGGGGGCTCGAGGAGGAAGTGATACACTGCTGGGATTTGTTTCCTGCTTATTAAATACAATTATTTTTCAGAATTAAATTTGAAAAATTGCACTACAACACTGTGGGCAAAGCTTTTCCAAGGATCTGTCTGCCTTTCTTTTCTCTTTCTTTCCTTTCTTTCCTTCCTTCCTCTCTCTCTCTTTCCTTCCTTCCTTCCCCTCTCTTTCCTTCCTTCCTTCCTTCCTTCTCTTCCTTCCTTCCTTCCTTCCTTCCCTCCCTCCCTCCCAGAGTTTAAACTTCCATTTGGCAATTTCTTATCACTTGCGGTGTCAACATTTACTAACTTTTGGATATTCTTTTGGCCACACCAAAGAAAAAAATATGGCTATTTTGTTTTTCCTTACTGCCTGCAGTATCATGTCCTAATTTAGAAAGGTTTACCAAGATTTATTATATATTATCTTACTTGGAAAAAAATGCTGAATAGCTCTTGTTAGTCAAATAAACTGATAAAAAATTTGTAGGGCTTGGCTATTAATTAGCCCTGGGAAATGAGTTTTTAGATTAAAAAAATTTTTTTGCAGTATTTGGTTTGTGTATTTTTATATTTGTTTATAAATGAGTTGCTAACTACCGTCTAATCTTCTCCAGTCCAAATTTCTGTACTTTTAGATATGGGAGAAAAGTGTATATTTATTTTAACGTAATATTTTTATGATTCTCACTCTCTTCCGTCTTCTGTGTACTTAAACCAGAGAGTCCTGTCTTCATCATCAGAAGGACCTACGATGACTGTAGTGAGAGCCTTAGTTTAGACCTGGTGCGACTTTTGTCTCATGCCATCTGTTTTGATATGAAAATATCACCTGAATGTGGGACTGCACAGGTCAAAGCATCATAAAGCTTATGAAATAAAACTTCTGATGAGTTAAGTCTCTTTTCCTTCTCTGAGGAAAACAAAACCTTCCCTTTTATGTAGGACCTGATGTCTGACCACAGGTACAAGGGCTTCTATACTTTGGGGCAGTTGTCTACAACATGGGACACACAGATCATTTCTTGTGATTTTTAGAAAAATAGTGTTAGCTTTTGAATATGAAGTTTTCCCACAGCTACCTTAAAAAGATTAGAATGTATATGGCTATCAGAAATTTTGAACTTAATATATGTCATTTATTTGAAGATTAGATAAGCAACATTAAAACTAATGATAAAAACCATTAAAATACCACCCCTTTTTTTAAAGATACAAGTTTTTAAATTTGCTTTGAATAAAACAGTTGTAAAGTCACTATCTGAAACTTCTTTTTGTTTGTGCGTGTGTCTCCTGAATCATGAGATAGATCTTTTCATGCAGAATTGTTGAGTGCTTTACTAGATCCACACAGACCAGCAAAAAGCAGCAGGTGCTTGTGGGAGATGGGAACCCAGCAGAGAGGAGAGAGAACATCACAGCTCACTGCTGTCATCTGAAAGCTCATGCGGAAAAACAACTCCAAATAATGTCCTAAATATTCTGTCTTTTAGAATAAAATACAGATAATAGAGTGACCAGTGGTTCAAATGATGTGATGTGTGGAAAGATAGAATAGTCACAGGCATGGATGAAAGCCAGGGAAACAAGGATCATAACTCATGCCTGAACCATGCTGTATCCTCAGTGCAGTGCTTTATTCCTCCGTGGGGCTCGCTTCTGTCAGTGGGATGGATCTTGCTCCATGAGTATAGACTGGACAGCCCTTCTTAGACCAGGTGGTCATGGACACCTCAGGGCTAAGTTATTTCCACTTGATTTTTTTTTCTAAGAGTTGGAAGAGAAACAAAAGGACATTGGGCCTGCCAATTGGAAACAGTCTCAACTTTGGTCTGATTTCTGCCCTCTTGTTTCTGAAGAAGATTGAAATCTGTTGCTGCTTCTGTGGGGATGAGAGTATCCAGTTGTCCCTCCACATCTGCGGGTTCTACACCTATGGATTCAACTAACTGCAGATCAAAAAAAGCTGGAAAAAATGTATCTGTACTAAACACGGAGACTTTTCTTGTCATGCTATAAGCAAGACAGCATGGCTACTTTTCACATAGAATTCAGATTGAATTAAATATGGTAGGTAATCTAGAGTTGATTTAAAATACATGGGAAGATGTGTAGGTTATATACAAACACTATACCATTTTATTACTGTATTCATTTGGAAAATTACAATGGCAAAGAAAAGGATGCATTTCTGTGTCTCATTTGCTCAGTGGTATCCTGGGAGGGCAGATAAACTGGATTGACCGTTGTGGGTTTTTCAGCCTACTATGAATAATTTGAATTATTATTACTACTATGAATATTTATATTGCTGAGATTTCATCATGAAATAACCACATCAGGATAATTTGATAAATATTAGGATACAGGGGTGGGCGAGGGTCTTTTGAATAAAACATGGACATGATTCTCAAGGTCCAATTTCCTTAAGCCAGTTACTGTAAGGTAGTTTCTTTCAATGAATGCTATTCCCTACCTCTTTTGCAGACCAGCCTTTGCTTACAAACCAAGGTCCAGTGCAATCTGTAGTGATTTGTTTAACAATGAGAAAAAGTCCTTTCTATGAGGCAATCATTGAGGGGTTTAAACCTAGTGATAAAGATGCACAATGACTATCCTGAAAAATCTTTGTCGCATCAGCCTGTGCAAATGGCCAGCAGTCTGGACTCATGTGAACCCTGCTGGGTCCCACCCAATACCCATCACCACAGATTGGCTGTGTTGTTCAGGTTGGCAATGCACCAACCAGAACACCACACCTCATAGGCCCCTCTGTGGTCACCAGGACCAGGGGCACAGCTTTGGTCAGTGAGTCATGGGCAGTAGTCTGGAAATATCCAGGAACCTTGCTTTCCTTATGTAGACACTGTCTCCTCCCCTTCTGACTTCTCCTGTGTCTGCCTTGAATGGATGGGAGGCTGGAGAAGGAACCTTTTGGGCACCGATGAGAATGAGAGCGTGTGTCTTGGGTGGTAGAGAAGAAACAAGCCTGACTGGACACTATCCAGAGTCAAGGCCCCAGCCCTGGGCTGTCTGTTCAGACACATTGGATAGGCCATTCCACATCTGAGTGACTTGGTTCTCAGCTGCAGACTCCGTCGATTCTGAGCTGGTTGATAGGGAGGGCTTGGCTGGGGTGAAGCTAGCTAAGACTCCAGGGAAAGTTGGTAGAACAAAGACTTTCCAAATGGAGGGAATGGTGTGAACAGAGGCACAGAGGCCAGGTGGAAGAAGAAGACATGCAGCTGAAACAGGAGGCCTCTAGAAGAACATAGTGGGGAGGGAGACAGAAAGGTGATCTGGGGTAAGCATGTGAAGGGCCTGGGATGTAATTCCAAAGAATTTGGCTTTTGCTTTGCAGTATCGGGGAATGAAGGCTTTTAAGGAGGCAAATGATATGAGGGGTCTTGTTTCTTAGCCTCTTCCCAAACTGCTGTCCTTAGTGACCTCGTCTAATCCCGTATCATTAATATATATATATATATATATATATATATATTCTTAACTGCCATCGTGACTTCTTTCTTACTGCATATAACTTACTTCCTGCCCCCACCATGTAAAGCAGTTTAACTCCTCTCACTGTTAGGCTCATTTACTCTTGACATACAGTGTCTCTTCTTGCCCGCTGGTCCCTGGACACAGGAATCCAAAATACCCAGGTGGCAGCAGAAGATTTTATAGTTCACTGGGACCCTTGCTATGTATGCTGCTTAGAAAACGAGTCAGAACAGGCCACGGGGCAGTGCTGGGATTCCATATGTGTTTTACCTTTCCTGTATTACAAAATGAATGAACCCAGTGTACCACCAAGAATTCTGCCTTTTTCTTGCAGAAATTTCTTGTAGACTACAAGAGGGGTTTTTTTCCAATTATCTTCCAGTATCACCTTGAATAAGGGTCCTTTTCTTCCTTCAGTAGTATTTGTAGTACATAATGTTTACATTTTTTATGGGGAACTGGTACATGTACATAATACATCTTAATTCCTTTTTTTCCCATCTCCTTTCCCTTTCTGTCCCTCCCTCCTCCCGTGAGCGTCATTTTAGGTTGGATAAAACAGGCCCAACCTTCTCCTTCTTCAGTGGATCACACAGTTTCTCTAGACACCACAGGGAAGGAGGGAAGTGGGTGCAGCCACGGGGACATGGGGGGTGGGCTACTGCTCCCATGGCCTACAGGTGTCTTCCGGTCCTGCTGGGGATGCTCCTGATGTGTCATCTCCATCTTATGATGGACTCCTGCCAACTTGATGATTTGGTGGTTCTAACAGAGGACCCAGATTAAATGGGCAGTTCTTACCATGGAATCTCTTGGCTCCATCTCTACCAGGACCTAGAACAGAAGCTGTTCTTCCAAAAGTATGCCATTCTCTGTTGTTTCCGGGACCCCAATGTTTCTCCCATTGGGTCTTCTTCTACACGTCACACTGCACATTTTTCCTCACCAGTGACACTTCCAACACTGTAGGATCTGCTAGGTCACATGATTTAAGCCACGAATCTCTTTCCACCTGTGACTTCTAGGTTTACTGTTACTGATTGGTTCTTCCCTACTTATGGGTCATTATCTTTGGGGTTTTTTTTCCTGTTTGTAATACTTTTTCACTGAATGGTAGGAATTGTGGACTTTATTTTGTTTGTTGATGGATTTTGTTACATTCCCTAAATAGCACTGTGCTTTGTTCTGGTTAGATTTATCTGGTCAAAGCTTGCTTTTATGTTTATTCAGATGCCTCCTCTTCCTCCTCTCATTTACTGTTCCCAACAAATTCTGCCCATCATGGACTCCTCTGACCTCTGTCTCCGCAACTCAGCAACACCAATAGTCTTTCTTTGACTTCCCCTTTCTGCTTTGCCACCTAGTAACTGCCTCTGAGCCATTAGCTTGAGCGGTTGGTTGTTGGGTACACCTGATTTTTCCCCTTTCTCTCAGAGATCACATTCTTGTACTATGGACTTTCAATATTGGAAAACCATTGTTTTATATATTTTATCTGGGTTTTCATTTGTTTAAAATGGAAGGGTAAATTGAGTTCCTGTTTTACCATCAAGAGCAGAAGCAGATGTTTCCCATGAGATGCTTGAAAACCACTGCTCAAGGCCATGCCTGGTTGGGGCAGATGGGATTCAGATGCTTACACTCTTTCCCAACAGTCAAAGAACCAAAATGAATATTCTATTTGTCAAGTGTATGAGTGTCAGTTGTACATTAAGGGATAAGGGAAATAACCAGTGGTGAGCCTGCAGACCCAAGGGACCTACTGTAAGTCAAACTTTGGTTAGAACTGTGTTTATTTTCTTACTTCCAAGTGCTCCCCCTTTCATGGGGCATGAGGGATGTAAATTACACTGTGAGTTTCTGGATTTCCTATGTTAACTTGTATCTGTACCTATCCAGGTTTTCCTCCAGTGTGTGGCCACTTGGGCAAATGGCCACAAGTCCCATGAGGAAAAGATGGAGAATCATGACTGTGTGCACTTGCTGTAGTGTTTCAGGAACTTTCCTCTGGGGCTTAGCCACTTCTTCAGCCATGAGCTTTTTGTCAGAAAACTGTCTCAGCCCTGGGAACTGGGCAAGGAGTCCTGGTGAGTTTTTTGATTGGTGTGATCTCTCTCAGCCCCATGCTCATCCATCTTGTCTTCTGATTATATATAAAGCACTGGCCTTGTTGCCTACCCATCTATGTTGTCCCTAGAGATGCTGTGTTCTATGAGGCATCGCCATAAGACTTTATAGGCCAGGCCCTGTTGGCTGCCATTTTGAACTTAGGGGCTAACATAATAATGAGGACAACTTGGTTCCTGCAGTCACCACTGGCTTCTGAGCTTTTGGAGGCCTCCACATTGCTCTCAGCAAGCCCCAAGTTCCATCAGAGCCTTTCCTGCCAGTGCAGAGGCATCACCACTGAGCTCCTTGGTCATGCTCATGCCCCTGTCACCATGCATTCCCAATGTCCCCATGCCCAATGATGGGTCCCCTGGGCCTTCCCCAGGGAACAAAATCCCCCAATGGGACATCTTTCTCCACATTACCCATTCGAGCGTGCCCCTTCCCCAAGCTCTCTCATTCCTCTATTGTTTGACAAGTTCAGACCTTTCAACATTTCTATCATTTTTCTAGGCTCCCATGAACCTCTGCAGAGCAGTGAGTTTGCCCTATCCTCTGATGTGCATGGGGTTTTCTCATATACTAAATCCTGCATCCTAAGAGTTATCCCCCAGTCAGGAAACACTCCCCTATCTAGTGTCAGCTGAGCCAGGCCGAGTCCGAGATGGAGTTAGAAGCACAAGGATGTGTGGTGAAGCTACTCCTCTGAAAGGACAAGGGTTGAGCAGATGCACTGTCAGATTGCAATACGGATCTGACAAGATCCAGCCCACCAGGGAGGTCCAGCATCAAGGCTGTTTATTAGACGAGTCTGGAGCCAGAAATGCCCCGGTCTTGTCCTTCCACTTTGCTTGGTCATTGGCTGGCAGTTGACAGGAAAATGTATCCAGTCAGCTACCCACGCCTTGCCCAGGGATGGACTAGCTATTCCCCTGAGAATAGTGTGCCTTGTCTTGCAAGATGGTTAGTACTTCTTTGAAGGTAAATCTGAATGGCTTACTTCTGGGTGGCTGTCTGCCCCAACTCCAAATTCCTCAAAAGAACTCACCATTCTTTGGTCACCCTAACAAATAAGTGTCAGAAATAATCAATGACAACTTTACATCAGTAATCTCACTTCTAAATCAGCCTTCTAAATCCCACTCGTCAGCAGGGGCCTCACTCTCATAACTGCGCCTCCACAACTAAAGCTCAGTGAATCCCTACATGTGTTTGAAAGTCTGTTAATCCTTGGACTCTCCGTTCCCTAAAACTCTGTGTAAGGTCAGCAGTTTTCTTTAGCCAGAGAGATGATACCCTACAAGCCCAGCTCCCCTGGGCAGCAAGCAGGAAGCAGAGCCTTGTGTTGTGGGCACTGAGCATGGCTTCTTCCTTTGTTACCATCACCTCTGCCGAGGGTCCTCCCCTTCTGCCACCCCTGGATTTCATCTTTCACACCTTCAGAGTCTTTTTCAGAGAGACCTTTCCTGGCCACCCTATGTGGCATCCACCATACCCCAGCCCCTAGCATGGTGCTGGGAACACAGTAGGACCCCATAATGACCTAAAGAATGAAAGCAAATGGGAGAGACAGCAGAGAGGTGCTCATGGATATTGCAAGGGTTAGACCAGCAGCGCAAGTAGAAGATGGAGACTTAGAAAAAAGTCTAGACACATTTCCCATAGATAAGAAAAAAATGCAAAGGAAACATTCACATAAGGGATGTTTCACAACTAGTGCCAGCTACCAAACTAAACTGCTTCATCGCTGAGAAATAATCTCAGTGTTGATCAATTTAAGCCTGAAAAATGTTTTCTGTTTCAAGGAAGAGGAGGGGAAAACAGGATACTTTGAACATGAATAGTACAAAATCAGTATTTTTCTTGAACATATTTCAGGTTGCAATTAATCCTGGTCATTAGAAATATGCTTCTCACGCTGAGGATGTAGCTCAGTGGTGCCTCACCTGCCTCGCAAGCACAAGGACCTGAGTTTCATCCCTAGAACCAAAAAAAAAAAAAAAAGAAAGAAAGAAAGAAAGAAAGAAAGAAAGAAAGAAAGAAAAAAAAAAAAAAAAGGAGGGCTGGGGATTTAGCTCAGTGGTATTGGTGTCTGCCTGGCAAGTACAAAGTAAGGTCCTGTGTTTGATTCCTGGTACAGGAGGGGGGTGGGGAGCCACACAATAAAAAAAATGCTTCCTTATATAAAATGGAATTTATTGCATAAGCAAGCAGTCCACATTTCATTTAGGACTGCAGGGTAAATATTAGAAATATTTGGTGCACAGCACCAGCAGTCAGTCCTGTGGACGTTCATGAGTAGAAGGGCTGAACGGCAGCCTCCTGTTAGTGATGGGAAATGTGCCATAAAAGAAACTTATTCCTTTTGGGTGAGCATAAATATGCAAAAAATAAATTCAATATGTGACTCAAGGAGATACCTTCAGGAAATAATTGCTTCACATTTTAAAATTTATATCAATAATAGTTTCAAAACCAGAATTCTAGCTTGTATAAAAAAAAATCATAGTCTCAAAGGTATCTGTGAAGTCATAATCATGGGAATCACTTCTACACAGGAAGAACTCTACCGGTCTGCCTGTGAGGTGTGGCTGGACATAGCACGGACATAGGAGCCTGGGCTCCAATCAGCCTCTGCCCTTGGTTTTGTCAAAGGCAAGTTACCTTACAGTTCTGTGCCTCAACATCCTCATCTGTAAAATGGGATCATCAAATGTGGGTTGTCTGGAGTGTTGAATGTGATAAATTCAGGCAAAGCATTTAGAGCAGTGCTAAGAAGGTAATGTGTCAGTATCAGATATGGAAACATCAACTATAGGGATAGTGATCAGCATCTAGGTTAGGGAGATTACTTAAAAAATTTTTTGAACCTGTTTTTATTAATGCAGTACATAATGACTGCATTCATCCTAGGGAGTCGGTACATGCACAGAACCCATCTCAATTCTTCTCGTATCTTTTTCCCTTTCCCTCCTTCCCTTGCCTCAATCTCTTGGTCCCCTCCCATTTGCAAAAGATCTATCTCCCTGCATCCTTTTATCTGTCTTTTATTTTGTTCCTTAATTTATTTATACTTTAGGTTTTTAAAATCAGAGAAACCATATTTGAGCTGGTGTGTCTGATTTATTTCATGTAATATTATGGTCTTAAGGTCCATCCACTTTCCTGTAAGTGACCCATATTTCCTTCTTTATGGCAGAGTAGTACTCCAGGGAGGCTAATTTTAGGAGATGCATAATGATAGGGTTGAAGGAACCTTATGCTTCATCTTCCCCATCCAATCCATCGGATACTCAAGCCTCTTGTGTAACCAGTGGTCTCCTGAGAAGTGAATGTGTGGTCTGTTTAAACAGACAATGAGGGGAACTGCCAGCTATGTCCTCGTGGGCAGCTTGAACTGTTGGGAAGTTACTGAGCTCATCTGCTCATCTCCCCAGCTCTGAGAGCTACCATCCCTGGGACAGTCTGCCGGGGACCTGTATGTGACTTGTCTTTCCTAGGACAAGTACTTTCTAACCCATTAGGCATTGCTCCTAGATTCTGCAGAAACCTACTCTTTGAATAACTAATCATTTTTATACAACCTCTAGATATGCATACTATATGAAATACTGTAAAAATTCAAGTGAATTTTAAAAATGTACGTTTGTGCACATTTCCAAAGGAAACACACCTTGAGTTTCAAGCAAAACAGAGAGTCCCTAACTTCATAGACTTATTCTCTGTTCCAGAATACCAGCACTTTTAGCCAGGCATGATGCTGTGGCCAGTAATCCCAGCACTCTGGGAAACTAAGGCAGGAGAATTCCAAGTTTCAGCCCAGTCTGGGCAATCGACAACTTAGTGAGACCCTGGCTAAGAATAAATAATAATAAGGGCTGGAATATGGCTCAGTATGAAGACCCTGGGTTCAATCCCCAGTACTGGAAAAAAATCTATACTTGGAGGTAACCATTTTCTGGTATAGGGGGACCATGGGCAGATGAAGATGAAGACTCAACAAAAAAATGTAATAGTAGCAGCTGCAAAAGATCATTTATTTTTGTGTTCAACTGAATTTCACCTCTCAGGCCTAAGGTCTCATAATTCCACTCAGGATACAGCAGTGAACTTCCATTCACTGTCTCATTCATTTGCTTTGAAGGGTTTGTTTTTCTGAATCAACCACACTTCATTATTTTTGTCAAGCAATCTGAAAGGACTGTTGTAGCCTGCAGTGTAGAAAACTTTTTCATCGAAGACTTTTCCTTCTTCCCTCAAAATACTTGCTAATGTCAAAAGCTGTTCTTGATTCTTTTGGGCGCTACAGAATCCCTCGAAACACCTACAAAGGAGAAGGTAAATAAACATAAATGACTTTGTTTTGCTTTTGTGTTTCAGTCAGGTCTTGCTATGTAGTTCAGGCTGACCTTGAACTCACGACATAGCCCAGGCTGGCCTCACGTGCTGGGATTACAGTGTGTGCCACCATAATGACGTGACTATCAGTCTGAGAAGGACAACAGGAGCTGCACCCTGAATGCTGGAGGACATGCGGCTTCCAAGTTGCTGTGCTGCCCTTCCCTCCCTGTGGTTCCATTTCATGTGGCCTCAGACCCACTGAGGAAGCTCAGGGGGACACCCAAGTCCCAGCTGTTGACAGGCAAACCTGCAACTTACACAATCTCATGTGCTCAAACCCTGTGCTTCTGAAACTTGCTATACCTTGTGAAAATGCAGATTCAGGAGGTTTTGGGTAGGACCTAACAGTGTGTTTTTAGCAAGTATCCAAATGCTGCTGGTTGAGACTGCACTAAAACCTGTAGCTGGGATTACAGGTGCACTCCATGCACCCTGCTCAGACCTCTTTATTTTCTGTTAAACATTCACCCTTTCTTTCTCTCCTTGGGCAAAGAATAGGTACCGGGTCGCAGATGAATATGACACAGTTTAGACCTCATTTATGGGTTAACAAAAGAGACCAACATTTTAACTGCTCTCTCTATACATCCTGAGAAGAACCGTAATGGAAGTGAGACCAAAGCGTGGTGGGAGCACCAAGGATATGAAGGGATGTGGGGCACGGGGTGTCCATCTGAGCTGGGCTGCAAAGCAGGATGGTTTTGCTGAACAAAGAAAGGGGAGGGATAAGAAAAGGATCAGAAGTCTAGACTGAGGCCGCAGAGGTGAGTGGAAGCCAGAAGGAAATCCCTGGTATCCCGGCCAAAGCCCTTGCAGAATATTCCGAGGCATGCTGAGCAGAAGGCAGATCATCTGATCAGATGTGGGTAAGAACACAGGCAGAGAGAAGGAACCAAGATTGGAGGGCAGCAGCTTGTTAGGAGGCCGCTGTAAGGATGGGGAAGAAAAGATTTCAAAGAAAGGCAGGAAAGAGAACAAAAATTTAAGTATAGACGTTAAAGTATGTAAACCAAAGTATTCTGAGATCAAATCCTAACACCACACTGGCCTGGCTGAGCTGCTGGCACGCAAGCCTGATAAATTTGATTTTGACGAGTAGGAATAAGAAACACTGAAAGACAAATGTATTCCTAACATGCCTTCTTTGGTAAAGCTTCCTCAGAAATGTGGCAATGCAAGAAATCAATCTTACCATGCTTCATGTAAGATGTAAACTCTCAAAGGTACATGTCTGTTTTATTCAGCAATGTTGCTACAGCTAGAATCATTCTTGGCACATAGCTCCCTTAGATCCACAGAGTAAATCTAGCTGTCTCTGTGTGCTCATGTGTATAAAACAGACCACGGCCGGTGAGTTGATCAGACTCTTCTATCGTCTTCATCACGGAGACTTAATATAATTCTGAGCCATATGTTAAGGAACATTTTGCTTCCCAGATTTATTAATTTCCTTATGAAGAGCCAACACAGATCCCGCTTTTTCCTTGACAAGAAATCTTGAACTCTCTAATTAGAAGTCATCTTCTGTTCTCTGAAAACATGTTGTTCTGCAATGATCTATCCACCACTTGTTCTGTACATAGATTATTCCTCCCCACCCGCACACATCTGCCTCGCTTGACATGTGACAGATGTCATATTCCCAAGGGAGTTATAGTCCGTGAATAGGACATTATAACTCAGCATAATCATAATAATAGAAGGAAGGACATCAAGGACAGAATGGCTGGCTGGAGAATCTGAGTGTAAGATGTGCATGTCCCAAGTGTTTTACATAAATTAGATTTTTACTGTAGCCCATGAGACAGGTAAGTACTGTGATCATATATATTTGACAAATGAGGACAGCTGACAAGGAAAAGCTGTCCAACTTGCATGGGGGTCCAAGGTAAGAGATATGAAGAACACGGCTGCTTCCATGAAGGATGGGAAGGTCACAGGAGCGGTTGCAAATCTCAGCCAGAGGGCTGCTACGCAGGGCGGGGGATACTACAAAGGGACTGTGGGCCCTCTGGACAACCTGGGCTTCCCCCTGACACCAACAGGACACCCACAGAGGATTTCAAATGGAGCAGGAGATTGGGGAGGGTGGTGTTATAAGAAAGACCACAGTTCTGGGGGGGAAGAGTTCTGAAATGAAGCAGTTAAGAAAGAATTCACCAGCCCGGTGTCTTCTGGGAGTGGCGGCCATTGCGCTGAGAGCAGGGCAGACAGAAATGACTTACTCAACTGTGGTGCGTGTGAGGGTCTGAGGAAGTCACAGGATGGACAGAAGGGGACAGAATTACAAGGCACATTCTGAGGTAAAGAGGCCTGGTATGGGAATCAGTTGTTTGGATGAGTGTGCTAATGAGGACCATAAAGTCCCTGCTGGGGAGGCTGCCTGCCCAGACAGCTGCTTTCCTGAGACTGGCACAGGAAGCTCAGAGGTTGAGGACTGGCAGAGAACTTGGCTAAAATGTGTTCATGTCCTACTGTTACATGGACAGTAGACCTTGTGAGTGATGAGAAACAGGGTATTTGGCTGAACAAATCTCTAAGCAAAATGCTGAAGATGTGTTCTGGCTGCTTATAGTAATGTACAAGACAGAGAAACAATTTAAAAACAAAATTTTTAACTAGAAGGAAAGCAGAAGTTGAACAGTGGGAAAATTCTTAGCCTAGCCGTATTAAATGAAGTGAAAATATTGTTCAGGAGAGCAGAAAGGTGTGGCCAAGCAACACTGAGAAGGAATAAGCTTGGTACTGCCATCCAGATCAAAGCCAGGACTCTACTGTCCAGGAATGAGCTCGAAGGCATTTCAGAGGTTATCAAAGGCCGTCCACCATCACAGCCAGGGCAGGGTCACCACAGAGTGATTAGTAACAAGTCTTAAGATTGGGGTCCATTAACAGATGAGTGGATAAAGAAAATGCTGTGTTTACACACAATGGAGTACTACTCTGCCATAAAGAAAGACAAACGAGTCATTTGGAAGAAAATGGATGCACCTCCAGACCATAATGCTAAGTGAAATAAATCAGACACATAAGCTTAAGTATCACATAGTTTCTCTTATATAGAGAAACCCAAATTATAAACAAAGAGCAAAATGATAATAGGAAGTAGGGAGACAGATCTTTCTCAGATGGGAAGGGGATCGAGAGATGGGGGGAAGGGTGGGAAATGGATGAGAAAAGGAATTGAGATGTGTCATGTATCAATTCCACACAAGGAGTATAAACATACACTGCAAACATGCTGCACCACCACTACTACTACTACTACTACTACTACTACTACTACTAGAATCAGAGATCTATAAAAACCTTGAAAAGAAAAAGACTGGGGTCTTAGTGGGACTTGCTATCCATTTCCTCTTGCCCATCTCTCCCTTTAGAATGGGAATGTCCAGCCCTGCTGCTGTTATTTTGAAAGCACAGAACATGTTGACTTCACACATTCACTGAAGAGAATTTGCCTCAGGATGAATCATACCTTGAGTCTCACCAGGATGTGATTTAGATGCTATTTAGATGAGACGCTGGAGTGTAGACTTTTGAGTCGATGCTGAAATGGGTTAAGATGTGAAAGGCTGCCAAGGTGGGACAAATGCATTTGATATTTGAGAAAATTATGGGACAAAATACTCTGGAGTGAATGTCTCTCTCATGCTGAAATCCTCATCACAAATGTGATTGTATCAGGTGGATGGGGCTTTGGGGGTGAATAGATTATGAGGGTGGAGCCCTCATGAACTGAATTAGTGCCCTTCTAAAAGAGCTCATTGCTTCTTCTACCATGTAAGGACACAGCAAGAAGGTACCATCTATGAATCAGCATAGTCCCTCATCAGTCACTAACACTGCTAGTGCCTTGAACTGGTACTTCCCAGCTTCCAGAAATATTAAAAATAAATTTCTTGGGCTGGGGATTTAGCTCAGTGGTTCCGGCACCTGCCGCGCAATCGCAAAGTCCTGAGTTCAATCACCGGTACCAAAAAATAAATAAATAAAATAAATTTCTCATTTTTATAAGCTACCCAGTCTATAGTATGTTGATATAGCAAGCAGGTGACTTTATCTGACTAACAGACTAAGACTATTTTTTTTTTTTGGTACTAGGGATCAAACTTGGGTCCTTGTGCTTGCACAGCAGGCAGCAATACCACTGAGCTAAATCCCCAGTCTATTTTTAAGATATTTTTGTGTACGTCTATCTAGATTACAGGTCAGAGCAGCCTTATGTTTCAGGGTATATAATCTGTACTGGGTTTTATATGTAGAGGATATGCAACACACTTCTCATTAAAAGGATTGATATCTTGAAACAGACCTTAGGAACATTTCAAACCAAGCCAGTTGAGAAACACCATGAAATAAACGCTTTTGACCTGTTGTTATGGAAGGGTGAACAGCCTGGTGAAATTGCACAGGAGCTAAACGGGGAGGGAACGCAAGTGAAGAAAGACAGCAGTCAGCAGGGCTGTAAATTATCTGCCACTTACCGTGCAAACACAGTCATTTTGGCTCTATCTTCAATGAAGACATCTGACTCTGAGGGCCTGGGCGGATCAGATTGCTGCTCAGAGGGGATGTACAAGGAAATGGTAATGGTAGACTCACTGAAAGGACCGGGGCCAGGCTCCACGTAGCTCAACACTGGGGCCGTCATCTTTATCTTCATCCCTGTACCATAAAAATGAAAGCAAATTTAAAATATATACACAGCTGGTTTTAAAATCTTAACCTTTTTTGATCTGAGTTTCTTGATTTACTTTATAGTAGTCATGCAAAATTTACCTTTAAGTTAATTTTCATCTTTAAAAATATAGGGCTCAAATGACTCAATTATTCAGGGCCCATATTAAACACTTCCTATCCTATTAATATTTTTGGTTAATAAATTCTTTATTCTTGGAGATCAAAGGGGAAATTAGCCGTAACGTTTTTTCCTTTACAATTTACCATGAGACCTGCTAAACAATATACATTTTGGCCTGACCCAAAAGTGGTGACTTGAGTGAGATTCCTAATCTTGCATATCTTCCCAACCCTACCAGTCACCAGATTATCCTGAAGAATTAGCCATGGGAAAGGACTTCTCCTGGCGTCCACCTGGCAGAACCAGGGGAAGCGCTAAGGGTCTCAAAGAGAGCCCTTGTCTGAAAACATTAGATCTTTGATAACCTGTTATTTTCCTACTATAAAAGGTCTTTCTTTAATAAGCTAAAATGCAGTAATAAACCCGGAGTCTCAGCCACAGTATTTACACATAATTACGAGGAAAACTGCAGTTTTACCTTTCTCGTTTTTGCCTTGAATGTAGCTGTTCAGTTTTGTAAAGCCAGTCTGGACGGCTGAATCCCAGTCCATGGACTCCACACAAGTGCTGACCCACTTGGCGGGGCCGTAGTGTCGTATCTCATAACTTCCGGGCTACAGTGGAACGCAGAAAACTTCCAGAAGCAATTCTAAGACAGCAGGGGGTGAGATGCACCCACATGGGCACCTCATTTCTGGCCTACCTGGGGCGGGCCTAGCTAGGGGCTGCTGCCCAGGATCCCCCCTGAGGTCCCCCCCCCCCCCGGCCGAGGTTCCCGTCCTGGGAATCAGGGACAGCAACAACCCTGCCCCATACGCTTTGGGACTCCGTTTGGGCTTAAAAGAAACAAGCATCCGTGATACCCCTAACTCGGGGGTGCCATCTCGGGCTCGCCCTGCAGAGACCAGAAACGGAGGTGCTGCCCACTCACCGGGGGTGCAGCTCACCCCCCCCCGAATAATCCCTTTCGCGCACGATCGGAGTTAGGGGCTAGGACTTTTTACTTAACCCTCTGGCTTCGCTTCAAAGCAGCCCTCCCAGGGCCCCGGCCAGCCCCCACCACCGCGAGAGGCGCCTACCTGCGCGCCCGCGTCCTCCGGGGCCTCCCAGTCCGGCGTCTCCACCGCCTGCGCCGCCGTGCCCTCGGCTACCACGGGCTCGGGCTCCAGCATTGCGGCCATGGGCGGCGCCGAAGCTCTGGGACACCGCCGGCCAGCTGCGCCCAGCCCGGCGCGCACCAGGACCGCCGCTCCTGGCAGCCGAGGTCGCCGAGTCCCCGCCCCGCGGACACACGCTCAGCCCGCAGTGCGGGACGCGCCCGGGGCTGTGTCGCAAGGGACCGCGGCGGCCGCTGGGGTCTGGGCCTGGGTCGGCCCCGCAGGGCGGCCGAGCCTCCGAGGGGGACCGCGGACCCGCTGCACGCGGCTACCTTTGGGGTCCCTCTGCGCCCACCCTTGGTCTGCGAGGAACAGGCAGGCCGAGGTACGCCCCGTGGGTGGACCGGGGAAACCGGTCGGGGCGCCTTTCCTGGGCACCCCGCCTGCGAGCGCCCTGCAGGTCGCCTGCGCCCCAGGAAGGCGGAGGAGGCGCCCGAGCCCCATCGTGGCTCCCTGACTGCGCCCCCTGCCTGGTCCGGGCGCTCCTCGCGTGGGTGCCGTCCGGGATCCAGCCAGGGGCGAGCGGCCCCACTCACACGTACAGGCACCTCGAGTCTCAAACAGCCTTCGGGGCCCCTCGCGAGACAAGGTGGGTGTGGTCTCAGCGACTCTGGGAGAACCTTCAACTGTCCTGCTTCCTTGACCTCTCGCAGCTATGGCCCCGGACTCCCCGAGTCGTCCCACCGGGACTAGGGGATGGGGAAGGACAGACTGTAGTGTTTTTTAGAAATTCTGGTTAGATGTCTTATTTTCTTCTAACAGATTTATTGATAATTCACATACCATACAATTCGCCTCCTTCAAGTGCCGGGCCTGTTGAAGTACACCTGTAATCCCATCACTTGGGAGGCTGACGCAGAAGGATCACTGCGAATTTGAGGCCAGCCTGGGCTGGACTGCGTAGTGAGTTCAAGGCCGGCCTGAACTACATTATGCTATTCAGTGGTTTAGTATAGTCACAGAACCCCAACCCTCACAAAGTTAGGTCGTTTGCATTACAGCCCCTCTCGCTTGAAAACGACCCATCCCATTACCCTGCCCCCCATCTTCCGGATCCCAAACTAGGCAACCCCTGTAAGGTAAGCACCTGCGGTCCGTCCCTATAGGTTTGACTGCTACATTCCGGATATTCCATGTAAATGGAGGCATGACAGCTTGGGATTCTTTGTGACTAGCTTCCTTCACTTAAAATATTTCCACGGTGGACCCATGTGATCGCATATGTCAGCACTTTAATCCTTTTATGGCTAAATAATATGTCACTGTATAAATACTTTGTGTATTCATCCCTTAGTGGACATTCGGATTTCCCCCAACTTTTGGCTATTATAAAATAATGCTACTATAAACATACGTGTACAGGTTTCTTTGTGGATATATTTTCATCTCTCTTGGGTAAGTACTCAGGAGTGGAATTGCTAGTAACTCTATATTTAACTTTTTATATTGTTTTCTCACCATTTGACGTTCTCACCAGCAGCAGAGTATGTGTGTTCTATTTCTTTATGTTCTCACCAACACTGTTTATTGTCTCCCTTTGTTATAATAATAATACTATTATTATTAATATTATTATAATCATCCTGTGTGTGCACCTATTGCTTTAATTTTTTTGAGGTACAATTCGTATTACATAAAATTTATTGTTTAAAAATCTACAATTCACGGTCGGGGATGTAGCTCAGCAGCACAGTGCCTGCCTGGCAAGCAAGAGGTCCTGAGTTCGATTCCCAGTACCAAAAAAAAAGTCTACAACTCAGTGTTTTTAAAAGTATAATCACTATGTCATACAACCATCACTTCTATCTAATACACGTATACCTCTTCCGCATTGGTTCTGCCAACCCTTGGCATCCACTAATCTAGTTTCTTTCTCTATAGCTTTGGCTAACCTGGACATTTCATATAAGTGGAATCATGTAATCTTTTGTGTAACTGCCTAGCAAAAGATGCACCCATAGTGTTTTGAAGATTCATTCATGTGGTAGCATTACTAGTACTTTTTTTCTTCTTATTGCTGGAAAATATCCCACCATATGGGCTGAGCACTTCAAAAGCAATTGATGTCCTCTCTTTCCCTTGCCCTTCCCTGCCTGAACAACTATGCAATGTCCTGAGAACACAGGACACTTTCTGGTGGTTACATCAAATCCATTATTATGCAGAGTTAAGCTTGAATCATTTAGTGAAGCCTCAATAAAGAATTTCTACTTTTTTTTTTTTGGTACCGGGGATCGCTTGCACTCGCAAAGAAGGTGGTGGAACCACTGAGCTAAATCCCAGGCCCTCTACTTATTTTTTAAAATAGCCTGCTTATTTTAACTGTGTAACAGATGTGATTCATTGCTTAGGTGACTTTGCAAAGTTGAGAATATAATTATACTTTATGGCAGGTGTTTTTTTTAAAGAGACGAAGGAATTTACATTGTTGGTTAAAACATTTGTTTTTCCTTTATCTGCAGAATATCTTTCATAGTTATCAATAGTTTTTTTTAAGAGAGCATTTCATTTGCAGAAAAACTGGCTAATTTTAGAAACATTCTTGTTATAGATGTGGCATATACAATCAGTGAAGAGAACAGCAGGTGATGAGGCTGAATTTTCTATATTTAAGGGTAGTAATTAGTCATATAAAAGAACAGAAGGAAAGAAAAGGTTGTATTTCAAATTAATGAGATTTTGTTAGAACAAATTTAATTTCAGAAAGCTCAAGTTTTACACGCATATTTCACAATAATCAAGTCAGGTTTCTGGTTGATGCATTATGATTAAATTGATCTGTTAGCTCATACTTAATCTTTATGTGACACTATGACTCAGATACTTTTAGATAAGGTTTATAAAATATTTTGAGATAAGTTCTGTTTTTCCACATTGCAAAGTCCACAAAGTGGACCGTAAGTGTGTGTGTGCACACATGTGTGTGGGTGTTACCTAAATACCCAAATGTCTCTTGTTTGTTTTCAAATAATCCCTATGTGCGATTATGGAGCACTGTTTTAGGAGCAGATATCTAGTGGCTGTGTTGGTCCTGAACGACTAAGGTGTGCTGTGGGTCCCCCTCGGGTCTCACTGGCTTTCAGCAACAGCTCCTGCAAAAAATCTTCCCTGTTCTCTATCCTTAAGGTCCTCACAGTCTTCACTGGGTCTGGGGGCCCCTCCAGGACAGCCTCTTGCCATGCCATGGTGCTGTGTAGACCCTTATATCAACAGGGCCTCCAAGATCAGCCCAGCCAGGGAACGTTGGCTCAAGGAGTCGATCAGCCAGAATTACAGCTGATTCTCTGAGTCCATGGGACATTCCATAAAGTCGCTTCAAACACTGAAGTCATGAGTCCAGAACTGTTGCTGGTAGAGGAACTACAGAATTGGGTTTTTATGAGCCTCTAGCTACCAATTTATATGTAACCTGGTTTTGTGTGTCTTTCTGTGTAAAATGCCTATTTATATATATTGTTCCTTCGTCAATATTGAACTCACAACCAACATTATAACCCAAGCCTGAGTGAAGCTTCTCTAACGTTTATTTTCTCTGTGAGGTTCTTAACAGACTTCTTACACTTAGAAACACTGGACAGCATTGCAGCACCATGCCTAGGGGTCATTTTAAACAATCAGATCACCAACCTAAAAGGACAAGAATGTGAAACACACACCACTAAAGAGACCGTGGACGGACATCCTTTCAGTTAGAGTATGAGAGCAGAAAGAACCAGGCCCCGCCTCTTCTGTCTCCGCGGAAGCGTGTGCAGGGCCCCTCAAGTATTTTGCTGCTCTGTACTTCCGTGAGTGACTGGCAAGTGCTGTGGGTATTGATCGTGGAATTACAAGTATATTTTAGCAAGTAGGCAAATTTGCACATGGAGACTCTGTGACTAATGAGGATCAAGTAGAAATGCTTCTTGCAGTAAATTCTCTAAGTTGCTTCTATCCCTGTTTCATTGGCCAAAGCAAGTTTCAGACCTTGACTCACCTGGGGGATGTGCAAAAGTGTGACCAGCCTGTGTTCTCCAAGAACTCAGAGTACTTGGGAAAAGCACTGTTTTCTCTTTTTTTTTGCGGTACCGGGGATCAAACCCAGGACCTTGTGCTTCCGAAGCAGGTGCGGTGCCACTGAGCTAAATCCCCGGCCCAAGCACTGTTTATAATACTAAATCCCTTATTGATTATTCTATAAAGGATTTATTTCCCATAAAATATACTTCAAAAATACTTCATTGCCATGAATTTCGTTAGTGAATGCAAATACATTGCTTCTAATAAGGCCATGAAAGAAGGTATGAAAGAATTTTAAAGAGATTTGTAGTTAACCCGTTTTTGCATCCAGTGAATTAGTTCTACAGTTCTTAAAAATAATTTTAGTTCTTAAAAATAATCTTACTTAGTACTTGGTTAATTTACATCCTTATTTTATCTCTATTAGGTTACTCATGTTGAAAAATATTTCCAGTAAGTAGAGCTTGAATTAATGGTATTTGTCATGAATTATCTTATTTTAGAGACTGCTTCCATTTGATTGTTAATTATTTACATACCAAATTAAATACTGTCTTGTTGGTTGTTGCTTAAAAAATAATAATTTATTTCCTGAAGGTGGTTGCAGTGTTATTTCCCATCCAACATGCTGTTCCGATGACAGGGCTGTAATATATGCATCCTTGAGTCTTGTTAGCTGAGGTCCCAGAGATCAAGGGGCAGGTGCCACCTATTGCTGCAGTGTGAACAGAATTTGTGAGGATAAAAAAGGATAAATAAAATGACTATTTTTCTGATGCTAAGTTTGGGCTGATCGGTATGTTTTCTAGGAACAATAACTTGAAGACTGTTTACTCTGGATAAGGCAGCGGTAGGTGTTGGTGGGTTTTAGCAATGAGTAAGAGTTGGTCCTGGCATTCATGTGTCTCACTGCCATCGGTTCCTCTGAGGTCATTCTTGGACCCGCACCATAATTACATGTTTGGTCTTCTATGCTTTCCATTGTCTCGAACATGATAACTGTAAAATAGGTAGCAACTTGGCATCCCAACAAGAAGTATAATCCTTTCGTTTGGTTGGTTTCTCCTTTAATTTTGATAAGAATTATAATACTCATCTAATGTTTAGACCCAAAACAATTTACAGAAGCCCG